GCCGCAAGGGTCAATTTTATTCAGTACCCTCTTTTGACTGAAAGCCGGACATGTAAACTATTTACGGCAGACTTGCGTCGTTGCAATTGCGCGTTTAGGACAGACTGGCGCAAAATTAGATACCCTGTTTAGGGAAGAGAGGACGAAATATACCCTGTTCAGTGGTACATCCCTGTATACTTAGGTCATTTAAGGGAATACCCACCCCGGGTTGTGCCCCAGGTCGGTAAGTGCAGTGCGTGTACGGGGAACCCAGGCTCCCAACCGCTCCCAACAGCCTCTGAGGGTCTCTAAGAAGCCAAATTACATATATGTGAATTTATCGTAAGTTCTAAAATGCACATCACCAGACATGAAAGTGTACATACCTCAAAAACAGACCTCTCTGTGCTGTTTTCTCGTTTTTTTTTCGTGCCCGGCTACGAGAGAAATTTTACAGATCCCAGCAGAAAAAGAGAGTCTTCCGCTGGATGCTGTTTGTGCTATTAAATCGTGTTTGAAAAATCTAGGAAATCAGTTAAAGAAACCCCTCTTCCTAAGAAGGCACGGTAAAAGAAAAATTAAATTGTTCCTCCCCTCCTTTCACAACTCAGGTAGTCTCTCATGTCTGACTCATGTCTTCTCCTGTATAATCTGTGATCGTGGAGAGGAGCTGGCCATGGCCTGTCAAGAAGCTAAAGACGCCAGAGACAGAAAAGATTAATTCTTGTTCGCCTCGTCAGATATATGAGATGTGTAACAAGAGGAACGAACTATCTACAAATAAGTCAATACGTTTAGATGAAACGTGCATGTCTTCATTATCTTGGGTTAAATGGCTTGAGTATCGTGGAGACTGTCGGATTTCCCTTCTGCCGGAAGTGCGATTTGAAGGTCTCTGTGACCTTGAACATATTTAGACACACAATATTGAATCAAAAAATGAACACACCCAATACAAAATATAACAACAATTATACTGGGTAAACCGGAAATATAGCTAACCAGTAGATTAAAAAGTATATAGTTGATTAGTAGCTATATATAAGTAGGTTTACTGCAATCAAGCTAGAATTTCTCCTCTGCCGAGGTTAGTCTTAGACTCGATTACTAGCCACTCTTCGGCGGGGAATTGAGTCACGTCCGCCCTCTTTCCATGAAAAGACTGTATTCTCGGGAGGCCGAGAGAGCGGCGGAAATCAAGTCTTCATGATGCTCGTCACATTTTAGTGGAAAGGCCTGTCACGTTGTGCCCTGATTCACGAATACCAACCATATGCAAATAAAAGCAAATCTCAACATTGGAGTCCGGATGGAGAGAAGAAGAAGTACAATCAGGGAAAAGTTAGATATCGATAGATAAGTTGGTTGGGAAGGCGTGACATAAAAAAATCGTCAGTTTCTTTCTAGAGGGTTCACAATAACTTGAACTACTTGCAAAATAAGACATCACGTCTTTATCACATTATTTATACATTTATTTTTACATTTACGTGCGTCGAATGTGGTAAAGACGTGACGTCCCTTTTTGCAAGTAGTTCAAGTTATTCGAACACATTCCTAGTCTCGGCATTTACAATTTCTCAAAAAAAGGCCCACAATAGGTTTGGCGGGATGCGGGATTTGGCTATTTATTGTGGTGATACTAGGGATGCGAGCTAAAAAAAAGGGGAACGGAAAGCGGGAATTTTGACAATCAACCTCGTTCCCAGGGTTCTCTCTCGGAGTATGAGAGAACCCTGGGAACGAGGTTGTTTGATAATAAGCGGGAGCGGGATTTCCTATTTTTATTGGGTTGGGATGCGGGAATCGTAAGGGAAAAGTAGAGGGATACGGGAATTAAGTTTTGTCGTGACCACAGTTTGACTCTTTTGTGTACACCGCCTTTGTACTAGGAACTACTAGTCCCCAAGGAAATGATGCCTGTGAATTTTAGCCATTATCATCTTTGCGTGTTTTCGTCTTATTCCGATACTTGGTAAAAACGGTGTGCGTGAACGGTCAATGAAAAGTTCTGGAGTGAGGCCAAAAAACGAATTAGACTAGGGAGGGACGCGAAAAATACGCGGTAAATTTTATACAGTCTTCGCCCGTACTTCGCAGCTTTTAAAACCGATTGCGAGGAAAAACAAAGGACTGTTTTGCAAACTATTAGCTACTATTCGCGGGCACACGCACTTATTTTTGTGCGGTTTTAAGACTGAAAGAAAATAAAGAGATTTTAAACAGGTATGAGTACAAGTAGCAGTACAAAAGAGGAAGAAATCGAGGACTAAGCGCAAGAAGCCGGTGGAAAAGTAAAATTTCTGCATGGAGGTTGTCTACATTTGGTTGTACTGTTCGATTCCATAGGAGTTTGGGTTTCCATAAAAGAGAACATTTTATCAATCTGTCCAACCAGTGTGTTCATGTACACTTTCCACGACCCATAGTCAGCGTAGACAATTGGCTTCATCGCCTAATGCAACCTATCAGTAAATTAATCGAAAAATACATCTGCCCAACTCGACTGGCTGTTTCCAGCGGGCCAGAACTTAGATCGAAGTAAACCCTCTTTTGTGTGCATGTACTGATGCGCTCACATAAGCAAAACAGAAAATAAAGTTACAGTCGTTAATGGTTTAGCCTGGGATCAGGCTCCGCATTGGGGAAAAAGGGAGAAAAAAAATTGATCCCGTTTTTTGCCTTTTTTCCCCACTACGGAAGCCTGATCCCAGGCTATTAATGGTTAAGTCAAGAGCCTTAAACATCAAAGTTAAGCTGCCTATTGAAAGAAGGCAAGTCTAATACATTGAACGCATAACGTTTTAATATTTCAATAATGAAAGCAAGAAACTCGTAAAAAAAATTAGGGCGGGATCTAGTCTGCAACACAGCCGTTTTTATTGTCGTCACGCAACGCTAGTCCCTACAAAATTTGTGGCTGTGTAGCAGACTAAGCGGGATCGGGATGCGGGCGTAAAAACAGGCGGGATAGCGGGATTAAGAAGAAAAAACAAGCGGAGAAGGGGGATTTGAGAACCCTATTGTGAACCCTCTGTCTAGTGTTTCAACGAAATTTGACGTGTAATGTAGGCTAGTCTTAAATTAATGTCTTTCGATGTCAACCGGCCTTAATTTATCGTTTAAAAAGATCTATTTTGAAGTCCAGTAGATCAATTTTCTGATATTAACCTTGTTTTTTTAAGGTGACGTTACACGAGACGATTCGCAACGGCGATTTTTAGCGCAACACGGGGTTCAAATGTTTGAACAATGAGAATTTCGAAATGATGTCACAACAATGTTGTAACGCTTTGTTGCCCTAAAAATCATCCTGTGCAACATCACCTTTAAAGTGTTCGCAACGACGATTTTTAGCGCAACACAGCATTGCAATGTTGTAACAATGTTGAAACGCTGTGTTGCGCTAAAAATCGTCGTTGCGAATCGTCCCTTGTACCATCAGCTTTAGCCTGAGCTGTGTGGCAAGCGTTTCAGCGCGAGTTCGAAGAGAAAGATGGAACGAGCGCAAAAAAGCTAGAGGAATTTAATTCGGTGTTTTTGCTCGATCTCGCTCCAACTTTCGCGCAATAACTCGATTAGAAACCCTTCAGTACGCAGCGCTGGCTGGCTGAGGGTGGCTACTCAGCAGACCACCCAGTCCAGCCACCCTATAGTCTGAATATCGGTTTCTGTGATGGAAGATTAGGTTCTTGAACTCTATTTTCTCACATTAAAACCGCTTCTCAGGTATACCTCAAGAATACGTCCATGCCCAAAGAAACGCACGAATCAGAATCGCAAAAGTCAGCATTTAGATTTGATTCATGAGTCCATTCGGAGTGAATCTTCCTTAGATTCAAATTTCATTTGTGGATTGTTGCGAAGCCGAACACAGAATTGGTTTCTGAAATCAAGAATCTGGATTTGGATAAAGAAACGTACCTGAAATTGTCCTAAAATCCTGTATATTCGTTCTCATCACGCTTTTGTCGTGATTCATTGTGCGCAAAAAACACTCGTTTAGAAAGCGGGTTACGTTTTCATGAATGAGTAAGTCCTCTTTTTCCTCAGGGATAGTAGAGTGGGCTAAATACGCCTGCGTAAATAGATTTAAACGCACGGGTTAATTTCTCACGGCACAAGTTTCAGCTCGATTGGATTGGCATATAAACCGAGAAGGTGTAGCAGAATCGTCAGCTCAGCGATAAAACTTGAAAACAAATCCAAAATTCATTCATTTGCCGAACTCAAACACCGTGCTTTTGACAGAAATCATCTTACTGACTTTCAGATCGATGGAACCAGTTTGATGCACAAAGTTCCATTTGTGTTTAACGCGTAAATAACGCGAGCTAAATTATTCAAAATGGCGCAGAAAATGCGAGCGTACAACGAAAAACACTTCCTTAAAAGGTCAGCCATGAGTACCACATGCTACCCAAGTAGCACAGGGATCGCAAGATTATGTATTGCGCCTAATAACGTCGAACGCAATTAAAGTTCAGGGACTTATGCTAGAGACTTAAAGTCTTCTAGGCGTTAGCCCGCGAGCAAGCTCTCCTGGGGTTCCCGCTATCTGGGGTCTTTTATAACGAATCTGAGAAGGTAAAGTCGTCTGCTGTAAAAAAGACGACAACATTGAAAAAAACACAAACAAACAAAACACTGAATTCTCCCAGTCGTCTGCTCATAACAAATTGTTCACCTTATCAGCTGCTAATGACAACGCAGTTACTGCACAAACTTGAGAGATACTGTCCCTAAAAAATCCATCAGTCAAGCCATATTAGTGCATTGTTTTAACCTACCTTATTCTCTCCTTACTAGTTACCCTTTATTGCTATGTATACGTATGTCACTATCTCTGCATCAATATTAAAAAATTTTCCTTTGCAATAAATATTTTTTGGGAACTCTCCCGCCAAGTCCCTCCGTCCGTAAGACTTTCGGAGAAGGGATAGAAAAAAACATAAAAATAATTAATAATAAAAATAATAATGAATAATAATAATGATGATAATAACAATGATAATAATAAGTACAAGGATCTCGAAATAGAAATTAAGAAAACATTGAAACTAAAATCAACAACTGTCCCAGTGGTCATTGGTGCTCTCAGGCTTGTAGCCTACGTGGCAGGCGTTAAAAGGGGAAGGGGAAGGGGAAGGGGGAATTTGGGCGCGCGAGGGAGAAAGGAAAGGAACGCCTGCAAGGACGCCATTGTTTCCTCCGTTTTTCACGCTCAGATTCTGAGCGTGAAAATAGTGATTGGTCAGAATTAATTAAATGTCAATCTTCGACTTAATACCTTTTTCCGATTGGTTGAAATCAACATCACGCCATTTGAGTAACTAAACATATGTCGCTAGTGGACGTGATGAGATTTCTCTACGGGAATACCCCTCCTCGCTCCTCCCTCGCGCGTGGTCTCGCGCCCTAATTCCCTTCCCCTTCCCTTTCGAACGCCTGCCACGCAGGCTATCAAGATTGTCAAGAACGGGACTGAAAACTACGTTACCAAGATCCCAGGAAAGAGAGCTTCAGAAGATTGTCCTCCTTGGGACTGCTCACATACTCAGGAGGTCACTGTCCAGCAAGTAATCCACGAGACTTATGACTGCCCTAAGGGACGGACCATTAGAAAACTTATGGGGCGGCGGGCAAAGTACAAAAAAATTATTCGTGCACGCCAATTAACCCTAAAAACTATTCATGCTACGGCCTAAAAAAAATTCATACAAGGAATTTGATAAAGAAAAAAATTCCTGAGGCTCGAAAATTCCCCCTTCCC